AGGCGGGGGACGGCAGGGTATTAGAGTTTAAGTGGATATAAATATCAAAAGGGGAGCTGGTCATGCGACCGCACTTAGAAGCTGATGAAAGTAGCGAAGCAGTCGGGATTCTGAAGCCCGGAGAACCCGACCAGACCATTTAAAACGTAGGGGGCGGACCTGAGAGATGTGTGAGCTCACGTCACGGGACTGGGACACAACTGTGTGGCATCGTGCTTCTGCATGGGGAAAAAACTGCAACCTGACTCCCATGCGGTGGGGGGGCACCACTTGGTAAATGTCCATCACCGTTTGGCAGATGTAGCTTAAACCAGCCTCGACCAACCCTGTGTTTACATGTCACTTTTTAATCAAAGTACCCCGCGGCACGCACCCTTCATACACACCGATCCTCGGGGAGGATGACGGCCGGATGTCTCCTGCTATTTAAAGCCGCCATTGGCTCTTCCACATTTGTATCAAGTTGTCAACATTGCTCATAATTACGATGAAGTTCCCAGAACAAGCACTGCATGAAGGGGTGGTGGAGGGGGGAATCTTGTGCAGGTACAACATGGAAAACACCAGGCCTGTTACGGAATTCAGCAGGTAGCAGGAGACCCCAGGCTGACCCAGAACTTCCTGTCAGGCATGACAAAGCTCAGCTACACTGGAACTGGAGTAGGAGCCGCAGTCATACCCTCATCCATGTCAACAGTAACACCCATTGTTAACTCTGCCAAAAAAACAGACCCCTGAATGAAACTGATTTAAAAAAAACATGAAGAAGATAAAACAGGGTAAGAGGCAGATCATGTGAAACTGATTCAAAGCAAAGTTTTCCACAGTGGAAAAACCCCCATCCCCAGGCGGTCTGTGACACAGAGGCCAGGAATCCCACGCCTGAGTGAATAAACGTTGGGGAGGCTGGCAGGAGCCCCCAGACCGCATCACCATGCTCCTTTGTTGGCTCTGGGACCCCAACGTCGTCATAATTTAACCTAAATATAACATGCTGCAGCACTATAGGCAAGGGACAGTATATCACATGTGGCTTTTAAACCTGTTTCTATGGACGCCATACAATTCACTGAGTAAATATACTAAATAGTATTCTAAAATAAGCTGCAGCCTAAGACCTTGTTATGGGAATTTATCAAAGGGAATTCCATTAAACCAAGGGTTGTAATGTAGGGGGAAAGCTAAAGCTTAATTATGGTCCTGTGTGATTACATGCTTCCTAGAAAAAGCCCTCAAGAAAAAGCAGCACAGAATCTGTGCTCAAACCCCTGCACAGAGAGCAAGGGAGATGGCCCACCTTAAAGACAGGGCCGTGGAATGTGGGCAGGGGGGGGCAGGGCATTGACTCTGGGGCAACATTCCACTGGTACGGTAATTATCCCCCTACGGAGTGAGGAATGGGGCTCCTGGGAAAACCAGAAAGGTCATGGGCGAGAAACAAAGGTGATTGGTGGGAGGCAGAGCACATGACAGGCCGGCTGCCCCAGCAGCGATGCCTCAGGAAGACTCTCTGCCTGGGCGCTACATTCAACTCACACAAAGGGCACCACGGTACCATGGTTTTGGTACGGTACTGGTCGAGTACCAGTACCGAAAGTTCCAGTACCTAAAGTGTCAAACCAACTGAGTTTCTTTGTCGATTGGTTATGCAAATAGCTTGCATCTGAAGCACAATACAGCCGCTGTCTTGAAAAACATGCAAACTCAAAAATCAACAATAAACAAAGCAAAAATATATATATTTAAAGAAATAATAATGGATGCATGGACACATGGAGAGACCCAAGCTAAAAATTGCGATCTAGTCAAAAGACCAGATACAACAAAATCAGGATGACATGACAAGAAACTAAATGTTTTGTATGATATAGCTACTGGGACAACATTGTACTGGAAATTTTTTGAAAATCACACTGTGATTTTGTTGTAATAAATATTGTAGTGTTTATAACGCTAAAAAGGAGTTTAAAAATTTCTCCTAAACCCATCTAGGAGTTATTTTAACATCAAGGATGAAAATGATCGTCTCAGAGAATGCAAAAGCAGCGGAGGTAAACCTCATGTGATGTTCAAAATCAAATTCAGTACAGAATGCCCCGCCTCACGTTGTGAAGTCATTCGGCGCCGGTACCGGTTTTTTACGCCGGTACCGTAGTACAAGCAGGTCGGCTTGCAGTGGGGGGCCAAGAGATATGGGGCCCACATGCTTTCCTCTGCCTATAATCACCACAGAAGTCCTTCTTTCCTTCCCTCTCTTTCTCCTCTTACTTTTTCCATTCTAATTAAAGGGCTTTGGGGTACCTGTTTCGGAAAGGGTGCTCTATAAAAACAAACTGAATTTAATTGAATGATCCTTAGGACAGCTAGCTGGTAGTGATGCTATCCCACAAGTCCCACTGGGATAATTCATCTGAGCACCGCGTGATTTGAAAGAACTCCTGGAATCTGATGCGGACCGTCTCACACTCCCTAAATTATATTAGCAGCTGTAAATAAAGTCCACTGTGCTATAAGTTTCCTTCCAGCCAGCCAGCTGGAGGTGAGGCACCGTGAAGAAGGTGACCCCTCAGAGGGCCACGTCTCCTGGCAATCCCAAAACTATACTTTCTCACTGTGCTGCACTTTTTTCTGCATCGCTACAATGTTTCCCCTGTTATAAAGCAGGTGTGACACTGTGGTTCTCGGTCCTGACAAACAACCCGCAAGAAACTTTGTGACTGGTAGCCAAACTTTTACTCGGCTTATCATTTTTGTGTTTGCATAATTTCAGTGATTCAGTTTTAAGCCAATATTGCCCACTCAGTGTCTTTAATAAGTCAGCCCTGTCTGCAGGACTCCTGAGATTAAATTATACAGCCTCTTCTCCCGGTCAGGCGTCAGCCACTAAACGATGTTCCGGCTTCACCATACGGCCGCAGACAAACCTTGTGTTTGCAGATTTGCTGTCTTGCTCAACTCCGTTAGTAGGTTTATGGCAGGGAGGGGACAAACACACACTAATGTTAGCACACACACCTGGTGGGGAATTTTCTTTTTAAAGGTCAGATTCAGATCCACCTCTCAGATTTCATCCAGAGGAGACTCGTAAGCCAGACTCAATCCCCTTTACCTAAAAAGAATGGAATGAAAATGGCAAAATGTTCTTTTTTTAACGTTTTGTATGAAAATGCGTAACGGTATTACAACTGGTTTCAGGGTAACTGACAACCCTCACAACCCTAATATGAACACCTAGTTTATTGGTAAGTGAGCTGGTGAATGTATACTGTGCATATTTTTTTTTTTCCCAGGTGTGTCAAATTTCAAACCATCAGATAAAAATAAAAGGTGAAATAAGAGGTGAAATCTGGGAGTGTTTAATGACCTGCATGGTTACTTGCTCAGAGAGCGAACAACACCAGAACCTCTCCAGCAGGTGGCAGTAGAGAGTTTTCTACCTCCTGGGTTGTGAATTCCTGGGCGTGATCTGAACACATGGCTTGCATTAGGTCTGTGACTTTTTAATGGTGCCCCTGCAGACACCCGCTGCACCTCTGTTTACATGATGATCATTTGATAAGGCCGTAAGAGGGACCAAGACAACCTCAAGAACAAAATCTTATTATAAAACGGAAAATGTGTCTTCTATGCACAATACAAAATGGTAAAAGTATTACCAATAGGCAATTATAATTCTGTTACAGCTTTGTGTTCTGATTAAAATTCAGGTCCACCGGTCTGTGGCACAGTGGATACAATGTTCAATGATGCACTGAGTTAAGTTAGGCGTGAAAAACAACTGCAGTCATCTGAAAAATGTTATGAAGTTTTTTGGAATGCCGTTATCAGATCAGAGCCGAGCGTGTGCTCAGAATGCAAGCTTGGCAGGCCACAGACAAGGAGGGGTGGGAGGGGGGCGTCGTCTGATACATGAGGTGTGTCATGCGAGATCCTGATGGAGGTCATCGTTTCACACAGACACCAACACCTGCTTCACATGTACCAGGGACACTGGCTGCAGCTCTCCTCAGGGTCCCACCTCCCTCCCCCGCTGTGCTATTTCAGACCACAGAGGATTGGGTTCTGAGCATATGCAAAAAAAAAAAAAAAAAAACTACAGGCACAAATTTGTGAACCAAATGGACAGGGAATCTCACTCTCACAAGTACAGTCTTCTGAAAGATTTAAAAAGCTAGAGGGGAGGAATAAACTAAAACACTACCTCAATTAAATATAACTTACTGTCAAGAAAGACTGTTTTAGGGTGAGCATTTCTGAAAGACTTGTGGTTTCAAACAATCCTGGGTTTCTGTTACGCAATATGGGTGAGATGAGACACGCACAGCTCTCCAGCGCTTCTGACGGGAGTGCGCAGTCTGACAGCTCACCCCTACAGAGGGCAGAGAGCCTCACATTTATAAGACCTCACTGGAGGCAAGCCAGAAGCCGTGGAACTGAAATTCGCTGGCTCCATCCCGTGACTCCCGTGGACAGCGGAAAGTACAGGCGTGCAGTGTCGTAAATGCCTGCAGCATGCGTTAACGGTGAAGGAACTGTTCCACGCCCAGCCTAGAACTTGGGGCTGTGCCTGCAGATGTGTTGCTACAATGTACGAGTGTAACAGGAACAAGCAGGCTAATGGCTAACGATTCTTTCTCAAAACGGCCATAACTAAAAACACATTAAAAAGAATAATTGTGGCAAGAATTCCTAATTCCCCAGTGTCTTTACAACATCCCGGTAAACACAAACTTATTTGTATTTGCAAGCTTGCTAAATGTTCATATAAGAAAAAGCTTAAAGTAATTTTCCTCCTCAAGCCAAAACATCAGGAACAGACTAGAACACTTCAAATTCCATTGCAAGTAATTCTTGCCAGAAACAAGCACACTATTCATGCTGCCACTATAGCTGGGTTCACCTTGAACCTCCCACAAACACAGAGAGAAACCTTAGCAACGGCTGTGACATCACAAACGTGGGACAGGAAGACGGAAAGCCTAGTGGAGATATTCTCTAACCTTCCACAAAGTTGGGCCAGGTCTTCTCCTCCACGTCGTCTACCCACACGTCAGGTCTGTGGTCCAAGTTGCCCTTGGGGGCGTCGGCCCGCAGGACGGTGACGGACCCTGTGTCGTGTTCTGCAGCACCTCCGGAGGCATTGGCTGCCTGAGTTCCTGGCGACCCAACGTGCTTCACCTCCTCAATTACCTCCTCCACAACCACAATCTTCTTCTTCATGGCTGCCTCGCCGAGGGACGTGGGCTCTGTAGTCTGGGCGTCCCTCTCGACCAGGGGCTGCTTGTGCTCCTCAGTCACAGGGCTGTGCTGCGCCTGCGTGCTAATCCGATACGCTGCCTGTGTCGCTCCAGAGCTGCTGTCAGCGCTTGTTGCCTCTGACGCTGTTCCTCGTGGATTTGTAGCTGGAGAAGTTTTTGGGACCTCCTGCTTGGGTTTTTCAGCATGCAGCCTTGCAGGCTCCGCCTTCCCTTTGTCTGCTGGGGCAGAGAGATCAGCTCGCACAGCTGCAGCTGCGTTCTGCTTTGCAGCGCTGCTCTCTGACTTTGCCTGCCGAGCGTCTCTGCTCGCACTCTCTGGATGGGGAACATCCTCCCCCGCTGCAGAAGGGGTTTGCGCTGCCACTCCATCTTCGGCTCTGGGTGACGGAGGGGCCTCCCTCGACCCTGCTGTTTGCTGCTTACTAGCTTTGATAACTTTAGCCCTGTCTGGTGGGACAGTTTCCACCATCCTCGACAGCAGTGCTTCTTGCACTGGAGTATCGCTTAGGTTAGGCTTCAGAACCCCCATATCCACTGTCACTGCCTCCATCTTCTGCACTGTATCCTTCCTGGCCGTCTTGGGAATAGCGACTTCAGTGGGAAGAGCGTTCCCAGCAGGAACAGCAGCCTTAACGGGAACGTCGGCCTGATCCTTCAGGGCCGCTGGTGGCTTTGATTTAGGGGTATCGTCACCCAGAGAAGGGGTCACGGTCTCCTCGGTCGATTTCACCTCAGAGGCCTTTTCTGACTTTTTCTTCTTCTTCGACTTGCGAGAGGGCAGCACCGTTGCTGTCGAGGATGGGGGCACTAGCTCACCAGTGGCACTTCCTTCAGATAAAGTTGTGCCCACCTTTGTGATGGCTAACTCCTCAACCTGCACAGATTCTTTGGTTCGGGTGGTCTCCAAAGTGGGTTGGGCATCCTGCCGTTGCGCTTTCTCTAAGGCCATCTGCGGTGCGTCCTTGGCATGGCCTGGTGTTTTCATAACCTCATGTGTCACTTTTGTGACCAAGGCCATGTCACGCACCTCGTCTGTCATATTTTCAGCAGGGACAGGAAGGGTACCCGCAGGAAGTGCCGACTTGGCCGTGACACTGTCACCCGGCATTTTTGGTGAGGCTGCTCCGGCATTCTGGTCCTTCACCATACTAACCACCTTAGGAGCCAAAGATTCCTTCCTTGGTGACTGAATGGCAGCTTTACTGGCTATAGGTTCAGAAGGTGGACTTGAGCTTGTGGAGATGTTCCCAGCGACGGCCTTCACAAGATCCTCTTCGACCACCTTGTTAACCACGGGGGCTTTTGCTGTACACATCGTCACTGCAGCTTCCATTGGTCTGATAGTCACCGTTTCCACCAGTGTTGATGGGAGCGTCGGTTTGGGTGCAGCATCTCTCCTGGGTGCCAATTTTGGGCTCTGCTGGTCCATAGCAGTGACCCTCTCCCTAGAAGATACTGCTGCAGAAGACTTTGTGGCCTTGGCATCAGGCAGAATCATCTTGCTCATGGAGACTCTATTCACCTGACTCTTCTCCATTGCGCTCTCTTCTTTGAGAGACACTTGTCTATCCTTTGAGAAGGGCTGGTTCTGGCTCCCAAAATCCCAGGATGCACCGGGCTTCCTGGGCTCAACAGCCAGGGGATGGCCTCGGGACCGAGCCACCCCCTCAGTTCTCAGAGCCCCCTCCTCCGTGGCCACCGCCCTCTTGTGCCGGTAGGCCTGCCGCTCAGCCAGCATCTCTTGGCCCTCAGCACGAGTCTGGGGGGCAGGTTTAGTGACGTAGGAGGTGGGTCCCTCCAAGGTCTGGACCCGTGCCGTCCTACGTGTCACCTCTAAGGGGGCCACCTGCCGACGCACCCTCTGCAGGGAGGCAGGCACGATCTCAGGGGGCAACCGCAGGTAGTCACGCAGGTATGCGATCCCCTCGTTTGTCAGGTACCAGTAGTAGTGTCTCCAAGCAAAGGTCTCCTTCACGTAGCCCCGGGACTTAAGTGAGCCCATAGCCCGAATTACCTGCAGGTTGGTGATGTGCCCCTGCAGCTCCGGGTGCCTGCTTTCCGGAGACTTGTCCTTCTTGGCCACCATGACACCATCGCGAAACAGGAGCTCGTAAATCTTTTTCAGGTCCTCCAGCGGCATTAACATCCCAGCTACCATGGTGATCCCCGCTGCTTCTCCTACTCTGCGCCGAATTAAACAGCTACGCCCACTACAAGAGCTGGATGACCTCACTGCCTACAAAACCGGCCCTACAGCAGGACCAGCTGCCACGTGCTCTCCGGTTAGTTAAACAAAGTAAAACAAAAAACAAAGAGAAAATGCTGTCACCTCTATTCGCATTAATCTCACGTTCCTGGTCCCTGTGGTTTTCAGAGATTGGCAGACAATTTTTCCATAGACAAAGAGAAAACTGTCTGTTTGAGACAGAAATCAGTCCTCAGTCAGTCCAGCCTGGAAGTGAGCAGGCTCTGGTCTACAGCGGCAGCAGTGACACACAGCCCAGCACACAGCCCCGCCCACCCTCTCTCTCAGTCGCGGAAGAGACGGCATGGAAAAAGAACTCAAGATGGGAGGGGGGGCGGTGAATGAATGGACGAGCGGCAGAGCGAGAGAGCGAGTGAGACACCTCTGCACGTGTGGCTAAACCACAGTGAAGCTGAAAAAGATCAGCAATGGCTACATGTTGTTAAAGGTGAGGCAGGCCCAACTGAGATATTGGGGGAAAGAATAGGGGCTGGACCCTGAGAAAGCGGCGTAAGCCTTTAGCTTACCTGCTCTGCCTCCAGTGCATTACTACTCTTACTCAGCTTCTAAAAAGGCATTCTGACTAAAAATACCTCACACGCCTGTGCAGTACCACCCAGCAGCACATGGACGCTGTGCTGAAGAAATTCATACTGCTTGTTCTGAAGCGTAAGAGCTGGGAAGACTTCTGGACCTTCCGGAAAACACGCTGTTCAGATGGCTGCATGTGATTCTGCATTTTACATCCCATCACACAACAATCACTGGACAGAAAGTACACAAGGGGGTCACCTAGAAACGCCAAGCTGGGCAATCAGAGGCAGGGTAGCCCACGCCCAGTACAGTTTACACTCTTCATATCAGGTGACATCAGTCCTCGGCAAACCTGCCTTAAAATAATGTGGAGAGCGGCAGTGGGCCGGCCAGGAATGCAGTGCCAGACCTGACACTCGCGCCTCTTGTATTTTTGGCTTCACCTTTGGCAGTTCTCAAATTTCCCCCCGGAGGCTTGGTGGACAAAGGGTTTGGGAGCCCCAAAACGGGAGGGCTGGTTGGACATCATTCCTGCGGAGGTGAACGGGCGACTTTCACTCGACAGTGATGTGCTCCTGGCTTCCTTGAAAGTCAGGAAGTACAGTGTGTTACTGAGTCTGCCTGCTGGGCCCCAACATTCACCTTCCATCTTTGAATATTCTCTACATTTACATAAATGTTTTAAAATAAACAAATGATCCAGACTGATCCATTTTCCACATAAAATGAGAGTTAAGACATTTCTTAAGGTGATTTTCGGTGAATTGGCAGCCAACTAATGGAGCAGAGGTACAATTAATCCATACAGACTTAATAATAAAACAAGAGTCATACAACTCAGTTTAATGTGCCTCAGTGTCAGTATTCCAACAGTGAGGTTATGGATATAAAACTCATTAAATGACGCAAGAGTCTGTAAGCACCACTGTCCTGTACTAAATATGGACAAACGCTCTTTAAACCCCACATCTCCTTAGAAGAAAAATAACTGCAAGCCCCCAGCTATATAAAGTCGTGCCTTATATCTGTCAGCATTCCCTGGGTGGTTTCATGTTTCCCTCTCACAGATTGTGTGACTTTTCCTCTATACATCTGTCACTTTGTGTGCGTGTGGGCATGCATGTGCGCGATATGGCCGATCGGCATGGTGACACACTGACAAGTCGCAGTGAATGGCTCACGGTCCAAAAGTGTTGCCTCACAGAACCACATGGCCCTTCAGAGCACCATGAGAAGATTAACACAGGAGAAGCACAGCACCTTCAAATCACCCTCCCTGCACAGTCAAGCAAAGACAGTGTCATACAACCACTACAGTACAGTCAAAGACCTACTGGGTCACACAACCACTACAGTACAGTCAAAGACCTACTGGGTCACACAATCACTACAGTACAGTCAAAGACCTACTGGGTCACACAATCACTGCAGTACAGTCAAAGACCTANCACTACAGTACAGTCAAAGACCTACTGGGTCACACAATCACTGCAGTACAGTCAAAGACCTACTTTGTCACACAATCACTACAGTACAGTCAAAGACCTACATAACCTATGGGCACCCAGAGAGAGCTTTCCAAAGGTTTTATTAGTAAAATCTTCATATGGCAACAAAGAACACATTCAAATATCACAGGGTCATATATTTCACAACAGTCAGCTGACTGCGATCATACAGGCACAACCCAAGTCACAACCATAATATAAATGACAATATTAATGTACTAATATTAGTATAAGCTAATGTCAGATCTTAGCCACAAAAAAACCTTCCAGAAGGATAGATATGCATATTTATCCCTTAAGTACTATGCCTCATACTGCCGGCAGTCTGCCATGCTGCTGAGGTATACAGCTCATGAACCTGGCTATGCACAGCCTCACATTTCACTGCAATATATTTTTTTTCGCTGCTCCAAGGTACTAGGCTAACAGCCAGGTCTAAATGGCAAGCCCAGGATGGCAATGCAAGAACCTGCTAGCAGACCGAGGGCCTGACCCCAGCTGAGAGCAGAAGGCAGCTTAATAATAAAGTAAGAAGGCTTTCTGGGCTGCATCTAAGGAATCTCTCTCTCTTTTTTAATATCAGGCACCTGTACTACTACTATTCTTTTCCGGCATTTGTCAAAGCTATTTGGTAACTGTCCAACTCTAATGGTTAATATATTTGGCACCCAAAGCCTAAGCCTAAGACACTCCTGACAATTGTTCAAGTCGAAACGGAATTACCAATGCATTTCCTGGATGGATAGTTATCTATTTTGCTTCAACACAAACTCCTGGATGGGCGGGGTTGTGTAATGGAGCTATTTGTCATTCTGGCATGGTTCTGCAAGCCACAACTAGAACCTACAGAGTTAGCAAGAGCAGAACATAGCGTTGAGGTTAGCATCAACATGTGACGAAACACATGTCGTAAAAGCAACTGCTCTTACATCCTTTAAGGACTTTTCCTTATGGTAAAATACCAAATCGTATAGCTTGAGAAAACCCACAGCTATCTTATGACCTAAAGCCTTGGGTCAGTATAGAGGGAACCATGGTGAAAGCAGACCTGCCCCAGCAGAGTTGCAGCTGGTCACAGTGGTCACCACAACCTGCCCATTAGCTCAAAATAAATGAGAAGGTACCAAGGACACTAAACCCACAGTAACTGATCAGGCAGCAGCCAGCTCTCCTCCGCATGCTGAAGTCTGTCACTGACACCTACCCGGGTGCTGCTTGCAGGGCAGCAAACAACGCAGGTTCCTCCCTTTATCTTCCAGCCCAGGTATTTACATAGGGAGACCAACAGAAGAAACACAGCAGGTTAAAAAGTATCCAGCAAGCAAACAAACAAGGCGATAATAAGAGGAAACAGTAGGCAGGTCCATGGCGCCTATCAGCCAGCGGCCGCGGGCTGAGCCACAATGCAGGTCCATGGCGCCTGTCAGCCAGCGGCCGCGGGCTGAGCCACAATGCAGGTCCATGGCGCCTGTCAGCCAGCGGCCGCGGGCTGAGCCACAATGCAGGTCCATGGCGCCTATCAGCCAGCGGCCGCGGGCTGAGCCACAATGCACCCTCGTTATGAGCCACAATGTGCCCACGTTACGGGCCACGAGTCGCGTTCCTGGCACAGATGTTTTGCATAAGTACCGGCGTACTGGAAATGTGGAATAAATATGTTCCTGAACAGGGCCTCCAGAACTGACTTTGCCTTCAACAGTAGAACAACCGCTGGCATGGGTCCTCCAGCACGCCGGAGCGATCCAGCTCGCTCCTAATCAAAACAAGACACACCGCCATCGAGATGACATAAGTGCGTTGGGCATTAATTATGTGGGAAGCGTCAGTGACAATGCCGGGCTTTCAGGACCTGCCTTTAAAGCACGGTGGGTTACGTCCTCTTTGTTAGCACAGGGGGAAACAGAAATGAAAGGCTCCACACTACGGGTATTGTTTACTCTTGGGTCAGGACACACAGAAGTGTTGACGTACAGACGGGCCGCTGTTGTAAAACAGCACAGTGTTTTCTTGACGCTGTTATGCCCGACTGAGGGCTTGGAAGCTCTCCAGACCAAACTCTTTAGCATGAGGCATTTTAAAGAATATTTAAAAATTCAAGGACATTTTCCCACATAAATCCCAGAGCATTTGAGCTGCCCAGTCCTCCTAATGTTTAGGAAAGGCACTTTAGAATTGTTTTTTCTCTTGAAGCCCACAGACGATTGGAACTGCCCAGGTCTCCCCCTCAGGCCAATGTCGGACTTGTATCTTTACTGCAGATCATGTAAGATCCTGCAGCACAGCTGTAGCAGAACCTGCTGGAGGACACATGAGAAGGTCATTCGTGACACAAAGAGGTTGCTCAAACCTCACCCATGGCAATCTGATGATGCTTATGCCACGCCCCAGGAGAACTGATGACCATAAACCAGTGTTTCGCAATCCGGTTCTCAGAGACCCCCAAACAGTCCACGTTCTTGCTGCCTCCCAGCTCCCTGCCACGTTTTTGCCCCAAGGACCAGGTTGCCATAAATGAAGGCAGAGAGAAGAGTCACAGGACTCGAGCCCTCAGACTGCATTACAAAATACTCACCACAAGAAGTCTGTGATTGTAGCTAAGCTATTGCAATAGCACAAGACTTAACAGTTCACACAGAGGAACCTGAGTTTTAATAACTGAAGTTAATAAGCAACTGAACAAATTAGATGACTCACAAAAGTGGCAATGAGTAAAAACACGACGATTTACCCCAAAATCAACTAGCCAAGCCTTATTTTCGCTTGCTGACATGAAGAGCTATCGTGTTTCCCTTTTCATTCACCGATAGGCAGGCACGGCCTGACACTTTGGCTTTAAAATAGCATTCAAACAAGATTGGGCGTGGCAGGCTGTTCAGACAAAATACGGTTTACATATATTGTCGTTGGTGTCTGCATACGGTGTCTG